CCCCCCCCCCCCTCCACTACCCCGTCAACTACATTGTTCGGATTGGCCAGACCCGAAGAGAAAACTTAGCTTCCACCGCTCCCATGAAGTGAGCCCACGTTGCCGCCTGCATGTTGCTCTGATGTTTTGCTCGCGTTTTCTCGATACAGTAGAGGTCCCTGTTTAGTGCCGGTTGAATAGTGCCAGTTGCCGTTATAGTGCCGGTGTTTTCGGCTCGCACGCACTGGAATACCAAGTCGTTCTGTACTTCGAATAGTGCCGGTGTCCGGTTTAGTACCGGTGAAATTTCGGCGCACACCCCGGCACTAAGTAGGGACCTCTACTGATTGACGTATTGACAGACGCATGCACAGAGCACCAACTTCAAAGCTCGTCGTGCAAAACCAGTCGAGATGATCAGAGACGCATGTTCTTCATCTGGCACAGCTGCTCATATGCGGAGATCCAGGCGAAGCTTAGGTACAACATTAGCGGTGCCTCCGCCCCATGCCCACCGCTGCCGCCAACACCACCACATCCGGTTTTCTTGCGCCACTCCTCCCGAGCTTCCCTCATGTAAGGGTTCGTGCTCTCCGAGTGGGAGACGAAATACCACGCCGATGCTTTCTGGTATACCTCCACCCCATCCGGAGCATCCACCGGGGGATTGTCAGACCCCTTTCCTTTCACCCTTGCTTCCTCCTTCCCCTCATCCACTTCCTCGTCACCGGGTGGTTCCTTCGATCCTTGATCCGCCGGGCGTTCCTCTGCCTCGGAACCTTCCTCTGAGTCGTAGTCAGAGTCGGAGTCGGAGTCGAGGTTGTGGCCCCGAAACTTGGCGCGGAATTTCGTTTTGATCTGCTCGCGAGGGTTGGCGCGTGGTAAGACCCAAACACAACCCCTGCCACTGAGCGCTCGTGCGTGTGTCGGCATGAACATGAGTACATTGAGAGGATGAAAGTTGTAACAGGAGCACCCTTACGAGAAGTCAAACAGCAATTGCTATCGCTGACAGCAATTTCTTCCGACGGGCTACAAGCGGGGGGGAGGGTACTCGAACAGGAATACTCCTATTTCATTGTGCCCTATTTGCTTGTGCTCGCCTGGGCGAACTCCACGTTCAGCCTGCCTTGGGCATCCTCCAGCTTCGTCCTCCTTAGCATCCGACTTCCAAAACGCTCCACCTGTTCGGACAGCATGCAGTACAGCTTTATCGAGTACATGTGTCATGCATCTTCATCATGTCATACAGTCGAACCTAAGCGCTACTCCACACCATACCGGCGACATACAAGCATGACAACAAATACCGGCGCGGCAGCTACTCGTACGATGCTGTTTGTTTCGGTACAGATGATACAGAACCGGCGCAACAAATTGCATACATGCGCTGGCGTTAGACTCCAGATATACCCAAAGTACGATCTAAAACCGATGGGCGACGGAGAAACAACAAAATGGTATAACAGCACACCTGGCCGCTGACTAGCTGTCCTTCGTCGAACACTCCATACTTGTTGGAGAGTGACAGCATGTCTTCGACGAACTCCGCAAAGACCACCTTTTCTCCGCACGCAGAAAGCAGCAGCAGCACAGAGAGCGGGTTGCAGTGACGAAGCTTGGTGCCAATGTATCGCCGCATAATTCGGTGAAGAACCTATCCGGCTACACATCATCACAAGCACAGCACTGCTGTGGTAAAAAACACTGTCACCGCAGTTGGAACAATATTCCATCGTTTCGAACTACAGGCTTGCTTGAGAGGGCGTCACACCTCAGCCTCCTCGAGGAAATCCTCGTATCCTGGCGCCAGCAGCGACTGATCCAGCTCGAAGCCGCCAAGGAACCTCTCGTCGTGCTGCTGCCGCCGCTTGGGGTTAGCAGCCCCAGCGGGTGGAGTATCACGGAACAGCCTCCCGATCAGCTGTTTCCGGTAGCAAGCAAGGATTGGAGGCATTTTTGAAAGACAGCGGGCATGAGTTGGGTGTAGCCTTGTGGTGACAGTTGTGGTATCCGCGGGCGCCAAAGCGATGCTGAGAGAAAACAAAGGTTGAGTTATCGAGTTGGTATTTACCAAGAGAGTTGAGCAATACAGCAGTAACCTTAGGGGCGCTATGACGGCGATATTCTACAGTGCCTTACCTGAACTTGAGACATAAATGTGTTGTACATCCTAGTGGTCACTCTTGCGCGTTGCCTGTTGTTACAGGCCAATTATTGTTATTTGCGTCCGAAGCATGGGGTCTCCAGCACCGGACAAAGTCAGCACGACGCGTAACTCCGACACCACTACATGATGAAAAGCTCATGCCTCGAGCGACAATGTGGGGCGTGTTTCAAT